GTTATTTACACTGATCTATGTAATATCTTTAAGGATGTGTAATTTCTACTCCCATCCTCCTTTCTGGATCCGAAATACCATTTCTGGTCACAAATGTAACTTATTGCATTTCGTGTATTTTTCACGTGATCGGACATGATATCCGGTATCACAATATCCGTCATCACAGTACGTATATATAACCTCTGTTTATTCGCCCGTTTTTTGAGATATTGCACTCATAATGAAAAATAGCAATACTTTAAAAAAATAACTTCGGGATTTAATATAATAATAAATATATGCTGATTAAAAATTAAATATGCAATTTGATCAGATATATATTTCAAATAAATAAAGTGGTTTCTTGTTATCTAGTTGGGTGACTGCATAAAATTAAAACTTTTCTACATTAATGTATATTGCAATTATTATAACCTTTTCTAATAGTTATTTAGTTCAAACTTTTAAAAAGCTAATTTACAAAACAAATATAATTAATATATAAAAATTAAATACAAAACTTCTTTTAAAGCAACTAAAAAAATGAGTACTTAACTAATTGAAAAAGATTTATTTAAAGTCTTGCCTCTTAAACGTAAAAATATTCTAAACTACCTAAAACAATTAGCATAAGATAATAATGTTTGTCAAAATTACAGTATAACCTCGATATATCGGAGTTCAAGAGCTGGGGTGTTTGGTTCAATATGTCAAGGTTTCGATCCATTGAGGTGTCTTAATATAACGAATATATATATATATATATATGGCTATATATTTTCGTTATAGTAAAGTATCTCAATGAATCAACCCTTGATATATCGACCAACTCAAAAGCCTGTACTATTTACGTTACACGAAAAATTAATTCATTATATTGTTAAATATTTAGTATAGCATTATATCAAGATAAATAAAAAAGTTTTCCTTCGTTATACAGTACAACAAGGTTTTGTCATTAAAATTCGTTATATTGAAGTATTTTGTAATCAAAATTTTTAGTTACGTTATATCGAGGTTATACTGTATTTAAACAAGGCTTAAATGTATCATATTTAACTTTTAAACTTATTAAAATAAAATTTATAATGTTAATAATTAAGTCATGAATAAATAATTTTAGTTTCTTTTAAAAAATTCTTTTGTAAACCAGGCAATACCTTATGTATAACTATACATATTTCATATATTCGCCTGAACTTCTTTTTTGCTCTCTAACAAAGTTTCTGAAAACACAGTTTCAAATTCCCTTCAAATTTGAACGTTATCTGATCTAATAAAAGGAATCCTCGTGTTTTGTGGATTTGAGTTGAAGCCTTTTAATGTAATTATCAACAATGTGTTATATCGGTTGTAATTTGTTATAGTTATTATATGGTTGTAAAAAATAACTATTTTATTGCACGGTTTCTGATATATAATCCCGTGCCATAAGTAAATGAAAAAAGCATAGGTTGTTACATAAAACCCGTGCAATAATAACATACAATTGTATGTAAGTTTAGTACAATAATTTAAGGCTAAAGGTATAAAAAATAGTAAATTTAACATTAGTAATTGTCAGAGTTAATATAAGTAAATTTCCTTAAGTTTCTAATAAATCTTGTAGAGCAAGTTATTCCAAAGTTATTAGAATTTTCTCTTTAATAACAGTTAATTTTATTGATTGGCGATCTATCGTTTAAAAAATTTTAACTTTTACTTACCGTATCTGATAAATTTGATGAACTAGTTAATGTTTCAAGTTCCACTTTATATGATCTTCATATTCATTTTCATACTTTACATGATTTTAATATTCATTTTCATACTTTACACGTATTCCATCTAACCATGTTTTCAAAAGCCTGTCTTAATTCTTTGAATATTAACTAATTTATTAAAAGGAATTCATGTGTCTTCAGAGAATTACAAGTCTGACACCAAATTAACGTTATATTATATTAGTTGCAATTTGCACACTTTTCATAATACTTAAGTCTAAACTCATCAATTATAATTTTATAATGTAGGAAACATAACGCTAATTAGTTATGTAATGACGAAAAATGTTATATGTAGCACAAACACTAAATCTTGATAATGCTGTAAAAATAACCAAAAACTGTCCATAAACCAAAATTTCGTTTAGCAGTCGCCTTCCTTGTACTAACAAAAAAAAAAAAAATTTGTTGCAAAATCTTGATGCAAAATAAGCCATAAGCATAGCCCTAATACGTCGGCTAAACATTCAAAAACTGATATGTATGGCGGATTTATTTATGTCAGTAGAAAATTTATGTATGCACGTACATATATACGTTATTGTAACCGTTCACATGACCATTTGATTGCACAGCCCACAGCGTTTTCTTCATCGTTAGAATGTAAAATAAGTTATAGCGAATGTAACATAAGGATATGTTTATTAAACCATAATGCATATAAAGGGCTCTCTCGCTCCACAATATAATTATGGAATCGAATCTTGTCTCTTTAATAAAGATATATAAATAGTACCCAAATCCTCTTTCGAGTACAGTCTAATCACCATATTATCCTCTCATTCATTTACACATTCAACTAATACATACCATAGCATAGCCATATATTACTGCACCCACGTGATCCCTGTATTAATTGTAAATATAATCAATGTTTAACAATCCCAACGACTTATATAATCCAAAATTTAAATATTGGTTATAATTTTAAAATTATTTACGAACTTTATAAGATTGAACGACCTGGAGACGCAAGCTTGTCCTGTCGAAAACTTTTTTATGCTTTAATGTGGATTTTTTTTATTGTGTTTTTTATTTTATTTTATTTATCTGTATTGCGCATTTTTTATTAATTATGTGAATTTTTTATTATTTATTTGTTTTGTGCATTTTTTATTTATACGATTTGTTTATTTTTTTTACTTAAAGTATTAAAGCATTTTTTCTAATACAATTAAATTTTATTATAAAGAATTTTTATAAGTTTTCGATTTCTTTATGTAAAAGTTTGCTTTTTTCACGCAAAAGAACTTTAATAATATAATTAATATCATTGTTTGTGTTATATACTTTATCGCCTGGGCATATAATTTTAAATTTTTTAAAAATTTCACCGATTGAGAAATGACCTAGGTCATTTCAAAATTCAAGAATGACCTAGGTCAATTCGGAATCGACCTAAATTGCAAAATGACTCAGAACAATGATACGTATAAATTTTCAGAAGATATAATTAAGGAAAGACACTAAATAGGTAAAAGTACCCAATGCTTTCCTCAGGTTCACAACAAAGTATGGATTCTGTACTAGGTTTGGCTAATTATTCAGCCTGCATTAAGCTAATTTTGATAATAAAGTCAAACCAAATTTTATACCAAAATTGTAAGAAGTGTTTGTTTTATTTATTCGAGCACAAAAATATAAGTAAACTTTAAAAGTATAAAATTTTTTTCTTGATTTTACCGATTGAAATAGAAAAAACATCCACAGGACCATATTTGCTACTATTTTATGAATAAAGTACAGATTTAAAAGAATATATGCTCGCAATAGAAATTTTGTTATTTTTTCTTTAATAATTTTTAATATATAATAAAATATTATCAGAGCACTCTTAACATACGTATAAAATTAAAAAGAAATAGTTGAGCTAAAAAACTAATAGTATAGGCCGCGTTACAAGAATATAATTATCTATGTTATTTAAATGTTAATATAGGATCACAATAATAACATCCTTAAATTTTTTATTGTAAAGAATAAATTGATGATATAGTAAGTAATAAAAAATATATAGTATAAATTAACAGCCAGTACAGATTATTGTACTTGGATTACTTGCATAATCAGGATTAGTAAAACAGTTATTGCAAGAAAATGTACATTTATCATTTGATGTTTCAATTATGGTATCTTGGCTACAAGTAAACTGTAAAGTTGGAATTGGATAAGTACCAAAGTTGCAGAAAGGAGATGAAGTTTGACATTGAACAAAATAAGCATCCCCAGCCACATCAGGCCAAATAGTACATTGAGCATATGGATCGCATTCATTATCCAGACTCGCGATTTGATTTTTAATCATACAATGGTACCAATGTGGTATTGATTTAGCAGGACATTTATCCTCTTGTTCCTGACGTTTATCTCTGTTTCTAGCGATTAATGTAGATGTTAAAACGACTTCTGAGAAAAGCCCGAGAATAAATAATTGCAGTAAAATAATGAACTTCATCTAAAACCAAAATAAATTATTGAGAAAAATGAGATATCTATAAAAAAAATTGACAACAAAAAATTATATTTACCTTGTATTTAACTTTCCGTGTTAAAATTTTTTTATTAAAGAGAAGAGAAAACATATGATATTTATAATCATCACAATTCAAAGAAACATGGATACCAATATGTATGGTATTTTTGTCTTGAACAAATACATTTCGAGCAAAGCTTAATTAATTATATGTATGGTATTTTTGTCTTGAACGAATACATTTCGAGCAAAGCTTAATTAATGATATGTATATACATGTATGTGTTATCATTTAATGAAAAATACAAATTAAAAAATTTGAGTAAAGCACCAATCATAGAGTAGACGATGTGAATATATGTACATATGTGGTCACATTTCCGCTATAACCATCACAATTCAAGAGACATAGATACAAATAGGCATGGTATTTTTGGCTTGAACAAATAAATATGAGTGCGTGAGAGTGAAAACCTGTACGTATTATCATTTAAGCAAATTAAAGAAATTTGTGTCATAAATAACGCTAAGGATCAAGATGTGACTAATTATTGAGTGACAAATATGTATCAACTACGTTATTATATATAAATAAATTAGTTGTGCTTATTTGTCACGAAATTCTTTGTCACACCAAGGCGGATCGGGGTGACCAATCTTTTATGTGACAAATAAGCATCAACTGATTATTTATATAAATAAATTAGTCAGAGTTTATTTGTTACTCCTCATCGGTCATCACTTGATCCCAGAAATTTAGAACCCAGAATTATTACGTATGTCAAATTAATTAATGCAAAAAAAAAACAAAAAATTAATAAATTAATAAAACTTTTCGTATGTTTAACTTATCGATAAATACAACTTTTTTTCTTATTGATTTTTAAAATGCAAAGTTATGACCTTTTGATGAGTGAAACCTTTGGTCGAATATTGAAAACTTTTATACGTCAAAGGAAAAACAATCGCTGTTTAATGGATCAAATAAATATAATCAATGTTTAACTGTAATTAAAAATCCAATGAATTATATAACCCAAAATTTAAATATTGGGTAACATAATTTTAAAGTTATTTACATTGGTGCAACTGAAGAACTTTTTACGATTAAACGACCTGAGGACGCAAGTTTGTCTTGCTGAAAACTTTTTATGCTTTAATATGCATTTTTTTATTGCGTTTATTTATTTATTTATTTATTTTTATTGCGCATTTTTATTAATTATGTAAATTTTTTATTATTTATTTGTATTGCGCATTATTTATTTATACGAATTTTCTTATTATAATGGATTCTTATAAGTATTGATTTCTTTATGTAAAAGCTTGCTTTTTTCATGCAAAATAAGTTTAATAATATAATTAATATTATTTTTTAAAAAATTCACCGATAGAGAAGTGACCTGGATCATTTCAAAATTCAAGAATGACCTAGGTCAATTTTAAATCGTGTGAAATGATTCAGAACATTATACGTATTTGTATATTGATGTGCGAATTGATGATCACCTATTTAACATGGAAAGATGGAAAGATGCATACCATATTGTACTACGTTACCTGCACATACCTAACACATAAAATTTTTTGCGTTATCGTTATTTAAATGGTTGTACGTATTCTAATTGAAAATGAGCCTTAGGAAATTATTTATAAAAAATCGGTTGCCTTTTATATTAAACTATAAGAGGAAACCTCTCATTTACAATGATTGGAATAAATCCTACAGAACAAGTTCTGTATGTTTAGATCGAGTTCATGAACCAATTTCTAACGGACCTCTGTCTGGAATTAGAGTAGTGGATCTTACACGTATATTAGGTATGAATTTTTAGAGATTGAAATTTCAGTTCATAATAATACCAATAATAATATTAATACATTTTATTATTAAAAAATTTAGCTGGACCTTATTGTACTATGTTATTGGGAGATTTGGGGTAAATTAATTATGAAAATTTAAAATATAACTTGCATGACATTAAATGTTTTTATAGTTATGTGAAATTTAATAATTATGTATATTATTTAGTGCTGAAGTAATAAAAGTTGAAAATCCAAAAATTGGTGATGATACTCGTACATGGGGGCCACCTTGGGCAACAAATAAAGACCCTAATGACCGTTCAACACCAGAAAGTGCTTACTTTTTGTCAATTAACAGGAATAAAAAGTCCATTACTGTAAATTTAAAGTCACCTTCTGGTATTGATATAATAAAAGATCTGGTTAAACAGAGTGACATATTAGTGGAAAATTACATTCCTGGAAAGTTGGATAAAATGGGATTGGGTTTTAATGAATTGAGTAAAATTAATCCACAGTTAATCTATGCTTCAATCACTGGTAAATAAGTTTAGATAAAATTGGTACATAGTTTCTATTCGTTTAAATCAATTTAAAATTCCAAGTCTAAAACGTACTATCATAAAAAGGTTATGGCCAAACAGGGCCTTATTCGAATAATGCTGGATATGATGTAGTGATAGAGGTGGGTGGCATGCTATTTTGTTAGTTATTTTTCAATTAATTAATCAAAAGTTTTTTTAGGCAGAGGCTGGTTTAATGTATATTACAGGTGAAGAGGACGGTCCACCCGTAAAGGTTGGTGTGGCTATAACAGGTATAGTCTTTGTTTTGATAATAATAATTTTGAACGTTAAGATTACAAGATTATTAAGTTTATTTCTAATTATCTAAATTTTTTAATTGCCAAGATTTGACAACAGGTACATTACGCTAAAATCTTTAGATAGTAATTAAATTAATTTGAACTAAATCAGTTCTTAACTTACATTATAAAGGACTTTACACACATGGTGCAATTATGGCTGCACTTATATCAAGAAGCAAAACAAATCTTGGTCAAAGAATAGATTGCTCACTTATTGAATGTCAAGTTGCTTCATTAGCAAACATTGCTAGCAATTATCTTATCTCTAATCAAGAAGCTAAACGAATGGGTACATCTCATCCTTCTATCGTTCCTTATCAAGTATTTCCAACGAAAGATGGTTTTATTATGATTGGTGCTGGGAATGATAAGCAGTTTAAAATTTTGTGCAATATAATTGACAGAGATGAATTAATGAATGATCCAAGATTTGCTACAAATTCGGATCGTGTACTTCATCGTAAAGAATTAGTATCTCTTTTAGAGGAAAGATTCAAGAATGAAACAACTGATCATTGGCTATCATTATTATTTGATAAGGAAATTCCTTTTGGTCCAATTAATAATATTCAGCGAACTTTTGAACATCCTCAAATTCTTGCTCGTGGAATGATACAAGAAGTTGATCATCCTAAAGCTGGCAAAATTAAGCTAACAGGTTAGATACTTAGATATTTAGTTACTTGAAATGGTTATTTTATTTGTAATATTATATTTTTATTATGATTTTTAGGTATTCCTGTTAAATATAGTAAAGAAGATTTAAAAATAAGGTCGCCTCCTCCGACACTTGGACAACATACTCGTGAAATTTTATCTAATTTGTTACATTACACCAATGAGCAAATAGCTATTTTAGAAGAAAATGGTGATATTTAAATGTTTATTAAAACATTGTTAACTTTTTTTATTTTAGATAACAGACCTTTTTCATTTTCGTTTCGTTAATATTTTTCTTTTTGTTTTGAAATCGTAAAAATCATTTTTTTGAAATAATATCTTAAGATAGTAATTAAGTACCATATTTTACGTATATTTTTTCGTTACATATAATTTTTTCATCATATTGATAGTAATTTAGAACTGCAAATTAATTTATAAACCAGTAATAGATATATTGTGTGAAGCTTTTACGTCAATATGTTTATTATGAAAAGAAAAAATTATTTTACTTATGGAGTCTTGAGCGTATTAAAATATAAACAACTTAAAAACCTCGATCCATATTTAAAAACCGAACCATGATCATGATTATGTTTTTAACGTAATAAAAAAACTGAATTGTAAATGAATAATTCATGTAGCAGTAGATTTGAAACCATTGTACTATAATTATAGTTTCAAAGCTTTTAATCAAACGTTTATTTGGTTTAAATTCATATTACAGTATTAACGATAAGTCTATTTGAACAGTTTATTTGTCGAACATTACATAGATATTTTCACATTATTTTTGTACCTACCAAACATAAATCAACTGATAAAAACTAACATTTGGCAGATGCAAAATCACATGAATTGGTAGTGCCCGAAGACTTTTCATGAGCATTGTAGATAACTGTTCCTGCATTACACACCTAGAAAGTTTCGCCGAAAATTAGAGTTAGGTTTGGCTATTAAGATTAATAGAAAGATCTTTAGTGGTATCAAAATTTCGCAAAGAAACACTTTTGTTAGTGCGCAGAGGTGTTCCATGGATTTTTTTTTGCGTTACACTTGATCTTGAAATCTAATTGGCCAGCGAAATTTTTTGGGTTGATAATCTCTATTCTTGCCTTTTATTATTCATGTGGTAGCACATAGCAATAATACATCTCCTTTTTTGTACTTCGTATTCATCGTATGCTATCTTTCACTTTAGTTGCTTAGCTTTTTGTCGTATAAAATGGCTATAGAATTGTTTAAAAAACTTTCAAGCGATTTAACTAATCTCCTTGAAAGTGAAGAAGATTATAATGTAGTAATTAAAGTCGGTCAAATGCCAAATCAACAAATTTTTAAGACACATACAATCATTTTGAATTCTCGATGTCCTTACCTTCGTGAGGAGTTGGCTAAGATAAACTATGACCAAAAAAATTGTAAAACAATTAATATGCCACATATTTCTGTTAATGGTTTTGAAATTGTTATTAAGTAAGTTATAATGATAATTTTTTAAATTAAATTTAAAATTATAGTAATTAAATATGATTTTAAAATTGTTATAGGTATATTTATGGTGGTATAGTTCTATTCGATAATGTCAATGCATCTACAATTCTCGACCTTTTATCTATTGCTTGTGAATTTGGTCTTGAAGAATTAGTAAATGCTACGCAAACACAATTAGTCAAGAATAATGGATCATGGATACGTTTGAATTTTGCTAAAGTTTATAAGACATCTTTTAAAAATGATAATCTTAAAATTTTACAAGAGTTTTGTAATGACATTATTGCTAAACATCCAAGTATAGCTTTTGATTCTGAAGATTTTGAAAATTTTTCGGAAAAGGCATTGATCTCTCTTTTGAAACTTGACAACTTACAAATGGATGAAGGAAAAATTTGGGATCATGTTATTCGTTGGGGAATTGCTCAAAACCCTAATCTAGATTCTAATCCTTCACAATGGTCTGATGCAAATTTCTTAACTTTAAAAACTACCCTCAAAAACTGCCTACCTCATATCCGATACTTTCAAATTGTTGGTGAAGACGTTATTGAAAAATTATATCTATATCAACAAATTTTTGAACCTGCTTTGTGGAAAGATATTTTGACAAAATTTGTAGCTCCAAATAAGCCCATTACTTCGACTATTTTACCTCCTCGCAAAATCTCGAATGCTTCATTACCACGAAGAAATACTGAAAATTCGATTTATTTTGATTGTAAGTACACAAAATGTAATATATCGAATTGTTAAATTATAATTTTTATAATAATTAATTTGTCGTAAAATTCTAGTTATATATCAAAGTGATAATGAATTTGAAAGCATGTACCAAGAAATACTGAAACTTTTTGTAAGCACACAAAATGTAATACGTACATGAAATTGTTACAGGTTTCACATACCAAGTTCGTACAAACTGATAACCAAATTCGTACATATAGCTAAATTAATACTCTGATTAAATAGTGATATCTCATAATCTAGCAATTATAATCATATAATTTTGATACCATTAGATTTGTATTGTCAAGATGAATCCAACAGTACCATCACACAATCATAATTACTAGATCATGAGATATTACTTATTACTATTTAATCAGAGTATTAATTTAGCTATATATACGAATTTGATTCAGTCTATACGAACTTGGTATGTGAAACCTGTAAAATATAATTTTTATGACAATTAATTTATCATAAATTCTAGATACAAGTGATGATGAATTTGAAAGTAATATACCAAGAACTACTGAAACTTTTTGTAAGTACACAAAATGTAATACATGAAATTGTTACAGGTTTCGCATACCAAGTTCGTACAAACTGACTGACAATCAAATTTGTACATATAGCTAAATTAATACTCTGATTAAATAGTGAAATCTCATAATCTAGCAATTATAATCACGTAATTTTGATAACATTAGATTTGTCTTGTCAAGACGAATCCAACAGTACCAAATCACACAATCATAATTACTAGATCATGAGATATTACTATTTAATCAGAGTATTAATTTAGCTATATGTACGAATTTAATTGTCAGCTTATACGAACTTGGTATGTGAAACTTGTAAATTATAATTTTTATGATAATTAATATATCATAAATTCTAGATACAAGTGATAATGAATTTGAAAACAATGCACAAAGAAATACTGAAACTTCTTGTAAGTACACAAAATGTAATACATGAAATTGTTAAATTATGATTTATATGACGATTAATCTATCGTAAAATTCTAGTTAAATATCCAAATTATAGTGAATTTAAGTGGTATGAATGATTTTTTCATTCTCTATTGTTTGTTTTCACATATATTCCATCGCGTCCTATGTCTATATGATCCTTACTGCTTTGTCAAAATTTAACATGATTACTACTATTTGATCACATGTATATCATAAAAAATTTGGTTTGTTTAAAAAACTAGAACCAAATATCGATACTACTATACACATAGTTGACTTAACAAACTAGGCTTGTAAATTGATTCTAAAAACCACAATCAATGATTGAACATCCTAAAATCGATTATTGCGCTTTGCAAAAAGTGTAACCCTACAAATTTCCTGTCATCAATTTCGGAGATTCTAAATCTTCTATCAATCATATATTCAATCAGTAATATTTCTATCTATTTTGAAATCTGTAAAATTCTTAGAATCGAAAAATCGCCTAATTTCCTGTGATTTTACATGTTATCATGATTTGTGAGGGTCAACCTTTTTTGCAAAGCGCAATAATAATATATTGTAATTTTCAATGCTACTTAATTTCTCGATACCTATTTTATTTCTCTTATCAAACCATCTTATTTTTTGGCAGATTAAAGTATTTATAAGAAAAATAAAATATCAAAATCATGTTTTGTCAGTAAATTAGATGGTTAATATTTCAAAAAAATTAATTTTAAAACATTATATATATAAAGGTTTTTTCTTAACAGTAAGATTTTTTTGTCTTTATATATATAATATAAAATATTTAAATAGTTTTATATTTATTTATTTATATAAATATATTTTTATTAAACATTTTATTAAAATAAATTTACTTTATATATTAATATTTTTTAAAAAAATTTTAGATTATAATTTTGGTGTTTCAGATTTTAGAGTTTCAAATTTTTTTAATAAATTCAAAACTAGTCTCAGATTAGAGCATTCAAACTAGTTTCAGGCAGGTTTCATTTCAAGTTCCAACTCTAATTTAAATTATAATTTGTAATTAGATATTTAAACGCATGTGTATATCTGTTAATCTATATGCAGAATGAATTTATATGTATTAAATTTATTATTGTAAGATCAATAAATTTTATTTATTCTATCAATATACATAATCTATTATCATCTTTCTATATATTTTCATTAAATATCACAAAATCTTAATTTGAAAATATAGATCTTAACAAAATCTACTTATACTCTTGCTAACAACACTAACCTAAATCTTTTAATTTTTTTTAAAAAAAATTAAAAAGACATATTCAAAAAATTTAAAAATCACACATAATAAATACAAATTTTAATATCATTTACAATTTAAATACCAATAACTACTAATTATCAAATTTATCTGTTATAACAACGTTACTAAAACTTAATACTATTTTTTATTGAATTTGAAATCATTCTGCAAAGAGATGTAAAAAAATATATTAGTAAAAATCTAAAAAAAGTAAAACAAAGTATCATTTTAAAAATAAAAATGACAAAAAATAGTAAAAATATAAAAAAGAATAAACATATCATATAACCTATTGTTTATAAACCACAAACAATGTCTTGAAGAAACTATATATATAAAAATGAAAAAGTTAAATCGCATAGTTTAAATAGATTACAAACCCAATAGAATGTTTTAGAATACTTAAAAAGTGATTCTCATCTAACTTTCGGATTACCTATGGGAATTCATATTCAACACTTCTTGCCATTAAAGATACAGAATTTCGAAACTTTAATAATATAATACTTTAGTATGACGTGATAATCTACAAAAATCAGCCAATCACAATAAAAGTTCGCTATTCTCGTGTACTTACCTAAGGATTTATTTATAAATAATCGATTAGAGAAGTTTTAATCAATTATAAAGATCGATTTGTAAATTAATTTTATACTCACTGACTTATAATTTAATTTATATAGAACCAATTAGAGAAGTTTTATCCAATTATAAAGATTCGATTTGTAAATTAATCAATACTTACAATCTAATAATTAATTTGTATAAAACTGATTAGAGAAGTTTTATCAATTATAAAAATTCGAGTTGTAAATCAATTTTAAACTCACTGGCTAATAATTTAATTTATATATAATTGATTAAGGAAGTTCCATTCAATTATTTAATATTATAAGGTTTCAATTTATAAATTGATTTATACGTCTACAGTACTTACCAGCTAAAAATTAATTTATATATAATCGATTAGATAAGTTTTATTCAATTATAAAGATCCAAATAATTTAATATATATATAATCGATTCGAAAAGTTTTAATCAATTATAAAGATCCGGTTTGTAAATTAATTTATACGTGTACTTACCATCTAAGAATTAATTCATATATAATCGATTAGAGAAGTTTTATTCAAATATAAAGATTAGATTTGTAAATTAATTTTATACTTACTGGCTAATAATTAATTTATATATAATTGATTAGGGAATTTTTATTCAATTAATTAATATTATAAATTAATTAATATTATAAGGTTTCAATTTATAAATTAATTTATACATGTATTGTACTTACCAGCTAAGAATTAATTT